TGAAAAATTTAATGAAATATGGAATGTGTGACGGAATGTGGAATTTGAAATCGGTTCAAATTGGGATATGATTCTATTAAGAAGTATTGACCCATGGTACAATGATATCAAGGTAGGGCTATGATATCATATGATTTCAATTTTTTTATTTTCTTGGCTTAATATGTCATCTTTATTTGTTTATGTATGTGTTTTCCTTTCAATAACAAAAAAGTTGTTCAGAAAATATTCAGATTCGGGTGTTTTCAAAATGTTTATTTCAACGTATGCATCGACAAATCTAGAGTTTTTGTAGCGAAATAATCCTTTAGAGATATATAGTACATGATTTTTAAAAGAAGTGTTGTCCTTTCATTCAGTTATCGCTTTTTTCAATTATTTATTCAAAATATATACGACAAGTTGTTTGATTTTTTATTGTTTTGATACTAATTCTGACATTACAAGCCAAACAGGTAGACCTCTATACTTGCAATTTTTTCAAAGTTGACCTACCTTCTCTTCATTGTACCATGCATTGACCCACAACGCCTTTGCAATGGTATAAGGCTAACAGTTGAAAAACTACACAACAATTTAATTGAGAATGCGATTATTACGGGGAAGTATGTTGCTACCTCTAATTGCAACAGAAATGTCACTCAACTTCAAAAGATTGCGGTTTCCTGGATTCTTGGCATTTGCTTTGAAATTAATCCTAAGGACAAACCCTTCGTGTATGCGAACTAAATTCAGCATGTTCCTGCTTTTCTCATTGTCAGCTGTTCCTGGCATGTCCACGCGTTGGTAGAAAGCGCTTTTTGTTTGTTTACGCATTAAAGTATTACAATAATTAAGTTTTTTTTAATCTTTGAATTTGTTTTATTTTTTCTTTGTAACCAACAAATATTCGTATATAAAATTTTGAATGCATTTAAAATCAAAAGGGGTAGCGAAGCGCACCAGATTCAGCTAGTCAATATATAAATAACACAAAAATGAAAACAGAAAAATGTGAGTCAATGAGTTTCAGCGCTTACTGCCGACCACAGTTATGACAGTATTTTTTTAAATTTATATCAGCATTTAGTTGTGACGGTTTTTGTCCACTATGACCATTTATAACAGATTTCTTGCTCTTAGGAAATAATATACACAGTAGTACAGTTATGCTGGCCAATATAACATTAAAATGGTTGTTATCACTGATATTGAGGTTGAAAACACGAACTAAGTATCATTAAAAGTGCCGACTGCCGCAATATCCAACTGTACGAAACTTTGAAGTAAATATTTGTTCTCGAATTCTAAATTGCTTACCAAGTTGATATCAAGATTATAGTAGCAATTTGGTTTTGCTTGACCCGAGGCGTATACATTAAAATATTTACTATTTCAACATAATTTTTTTTTTCGAATTACCATTACAACTGGATCATTTTGTCTGGCAACCTTTGCTTGTGGGAATCTTCCTGCTTTTACCTTCATAAGTTGTTAAAATACCAGAATTCATCTTTGTGGCATAGGGTTCCTGACAATTGCCAAACAACTATGAAAATCTTATATTTTTGTTTAATTTCTGCTCTCTTATTCATTTGTTTATGCTGTTCTTTTGTTTTTCAGCAGTATTCCAATGTTTTCCTTTTTCGATCGATCGTGATGTAAAAATGGGTAGGTCTTACTGCCTTTAGAAGAAGCTGACAATTTCGAACACATACACACTTGTTAGATCTTAAATGTCAATTCCATTACTTATGCGTCAAATAATACCCACTGGATTTATGAATACGTTTTACGTGACGTATACACTATGAAATTGACATTTGAAATCGAAAGGATTTAGTATTATAAACCTCTGCCAAGTATATGGAGCAAGACAAACCGTAACTCATCCTATACATTTACTGCCAATAAAATGAGAGGTTGTTTTGCAGCGTTGCCTAAATTTCGACGTATTCGGTCGACAGTTTTCACCACAGAAGTAAAACATTTGTGTTAATACGAATACGAATACGAATTTTACCCAAAATAATACAAGTGTGAGAGCTATATGTCCTAAAATGTAAGCAAAACAATTAACTTTTAATCAGGGCTGTCACAGAAACCATGTCGGTTTTGCTTATTGTCGTGTTTGTAAACCGATGTTAGTTTCATTTGGTGTCATGAAACCAAGTTGGTTTTGTCATTGAAATATCAGTAAAAGTAATGTAAATAAAAAAAAGGAATAAGTCAGTGGTAGTTTTTGTGTTGTTGGACGAAGAACGCTCAGAAAAGGTGACGAGAAAAGCTCTTAGAGATTTCAGCAACCCACTGGAGTTGCCGGAGATACCGTAAGTAATTTTTTTTAATGTCAACTTACTCATAAAGCTGCTTTGCAGATTTATGGTTTATGGTCCTTTAAAAATTATTTAAAAAATCCTTAAAATATCCACGTTTATGGTCCTTTAAATATCCTTTAAAAATCCACGTCTATAGTCCTTTAAAAATTCTACGTCTATAGTCCTTTAAAAAATCCACGTTTATTGTCCCTTAAATGTCCTTTAAAAATTCTTTAAAAAATCCACATTTTTAGTCCTTTGAATATACTTTAAAAATTGTTTAAAAATCCACATTTTTAGTCCTTTGAATATCCTTTAAAAATTGTTTAAAAAATCCAAAGCCAATGAAAAGTGACAGCTCTAAGCAACTTGGTTTATTTCCAATAACAAAACCAATAACATTGGCTTCTATGACAACCAAAACCGAAAAAATTCTAATTCGAAAATAAAACCAATAACATTGATTTTCATGACACCAAAGCATTTTTTCTTGTCGTTTTTAAAACCAATAGTGACAAAATTGGTTTCTATGACTGCCCTGAATAAATTATTTTAATTTCAAAAATATACATTTTTAAATGTAAAATGCAGAAGAAAAGTTCTTAAAATATTAAATTTTAATACTATCATATTATTCCCCTGAATACATCGCTTTCCAATTAAAATCAAATTGCACATAACATAAAGTATTCTACATTTTTCAATTTTAGGAAACATGAAATATTCGACTATATTACCTACATATAAATGGGTTAACCCGCTGGTTTTGGACAAGAATTATCATGTTCATTACTAAAGGTAAGGTCACATTGGGCAAATATTTGACGGAAAATGTGAAATATTTCTTTGTCACAATCTGACCACCAAATATTATTTGACGGTAAATACAAAAACAGCTGATTTTGGAAAAACAAAATTATTTGCCGGAAAACAAAGATTTGACCAATGTGTCCATAATATGAACATATATGTATATGAGTATGTATTGTGTTGAATTAAAAATAATTATTTGAAATTATTTAAAATTTAGATGCAACAAAAATGCATATTTTCCACGTTAACGGGCAACAAAATGTATTATTTTGGGATGAAACAACATTATCTCTCTATCTTGGATTCAATTTTGTGGAGGAACCCCAATATTTCATTCATATTTTGTGGGGTTTCCCCAATATCGTAACTTGTGTAAAAAGTAAAATAAACGAAATCAATTGTTGCATATTTTAAAATATATTTGACACCATAAAAATTTACATTTTAATGTTTTCATTCCTTTTTTCAACGCACAAAAAAATAATTGTTTAATTGTCAATGTTGAAAATGTTCAACGCCCGACGTATTTGGGTACCTCTCATATAAATACATGTGTTTTACTTGTGTGTAAAATACGTCGACCGAGTACGTCGAATTTTAGGTAACGCTGTAAAACATGAAATGAAAAATATTTACTTCATAAACCTTTTCATTTCACAATTATTACTTTACACAATTATTCATTTCACATTTTCATAGAACGAGAATTGAGGTTCATGGCACTATAGATAAAAATAGAATTTTAATGTTCTCTATTCCACTATTTATAGAGTTGTGGGTAATTTTCGAAGGATGAAATTTTAAATTTGAATTGAATACCAATTTTGGGGATGGGCAACATCGGTCCAATACATCTGGTACATTTTAAATTATTATAACCCTTATGCAAAACGAGTTAGAGATTTTCATCAAACTTCGTGTATCTCAATATTCCAGTTAACCCATGGTAGAAGAATACAGGTAACAGCAATTGTAACAACAACCACGTACAAATTTGTTTTCGTACGTAATACAAGTGTCAGAGTTATATGTCCAATTTCAATAAATTATTTTATTTTCAAAAATATACATTTTTGGAATTTGGATTATTAAATTGAAAATGCAGAAGAATAGTTCTTTAAATACTTAATTTTAATGCTTTCACATCATTCCCCTGAGTGTATAGTTGTTAGTCCTAATCTCTAATCTAATCCTAATCTCTCAACAATTCAAGCAATTGCTAGAATATCGCGGAAAAGGCAACATCACTTTCAAGTTGAAACCAAACGCCATACATACATAAAGTAATTTTAGGAAACATGTATATACATATAATATACGAATATATTATACGAATATATTAGAATGGTGTCGCTGTTCCTTAACCGCAAAAAAGTATCCGGAACTTTTACTAAGTTTTCTATTATTAGGCTACAATATGTTCACATTGCCCTGCAGTGAAATTTTATATAAAAAAAGGGTACACCTATTGTATATCAAGAAATGGAATTAAATCACGAAAACAAATCAGCTGGGACTTGCTGTTACCTGTAATAATTATACCATATTTCGGTCTACTCATGGTAAAATGAAGAAGGTAAGGTCATTTCAAATAAGCTTATCCATCTCTGCATTTTCTGTAATTTACCTCGTCAAATTTCAAAAATACATTTAGAACATTTTTTTTATTTTTTTAATTTTACTGTGCTTTAATTTTGTTGCATTGACGGTAGGGACCATGCGAATTAGGGTAATTAGGCACGTACAAAACATTTTACTATGAAGCGAGTAATTTTGCATGACAGGTCTCGGTAGGTCTCTTTTAAACAAACGCGGGAACTAAAGAGAAAGAGCTGTATCTAGTTCTGGTCGTTCCATTCAAAGAATATTCTGAATGTGTTCAGTTTTCCTCATATATCATTCATAAACAACAGAGTGCCCCGGACTTCTGCTGTTTATTTTTTAAGTATTTCTTTTTTGGCCTTCATATTCGTTTCATTTTGGTTTCCACGCGAGTATTCGCTCTGTTCTACAACAACCACAATAACAAAAAACCCATCTCACCTTAACAAGAACATTGGTATTGCACACATTACTTGAACAGGGGTAACAACGAAACTTTACAACCGTATTTCACATTTAATGCTTAATTGTTTAGATCTATAACAAAAACGTATTAAATAGATCAAACTAAAAATATAAATTGCAGAAAGCCATTGAAGAATGAATTTTTGCTGGTTGAAGTAAAGTGCGAATATTTAAACTGAATCTACAGTATATTTCGCGGTCATTTTGTTTCGCTTTGCCAATTTATGAATATTCCAAACTAAGTTACAATATGCCATTTGCGTCCTTTTCAAGAATACGAGAAGTTAGCAGCGAGGATGATGTATGTACAAAAGTGTTTAGAATCTACATTATTTGCATGGCAAAGAATACTGAAGAATATTTCTCTTTACAAATATTCTAGCATCATTTGGCGGAAAATTTGATAAAACCGTCTCAAGGAAAGAAATGGAAAACCAAGTCAGTGGGAGAGAAATCGGCTTACGTTATACTTGAATTAGATGAAGCTCAGCAGATCACAGGCATCGATATTGGTAACGAACATTCGGCCTTTATTGAGGTTTTGGTGGGAAAATCCACGTCGACTCCTGATGATTTCACAGTAATGTCATTTGAATTCTGATTTCTATTACCGCAAACTAAAGTCAACTTTTATATTTATTGTAGGAAATTTTAATAACATGTTCCTTTATGACTCCAATAGAAAGTAGAAGTTCGAATAATCCAAATAGAGTGAGATGTTTTTGCACGGATGCTTTGGTACCCAGCGTAGCAGAAAAGAAGTGGTCTTTACTCAAAATAATTTGTACACAACCATTTAATAAACACGTCCAATATGGTCTTTCATTTGTTAAAGTACACGTTGCATCAAAAAACTCTACAAAAGATACAGGGCTGGCACCTGCGAAGGAAATAGATGCTAAACCAACCCCACTACAAATTGGAATGTTTAAATTACGAGAAGATTCACCTGATTCGGAAACCAACGGAGTTTCCAGCCTATTTAATCGCTGGAAAACTAACAAAGATGCAAATGAACACTCTGCGGCAGCTTCCATTAGAAATGCAGCCAACAGTAGCTGCGAAAAACAATCCCGTGAAAATTTTAAAGAAATAAAATCAAATGATTCATTTAAAAACTCAAAAATTGAAGTGCGGGACAGGAATCGCTATGATTTGATGTTTGGAGTCGCAGATGATACGAATACAGAAAAAGAAGCTCGACTGGCCAAGGAAATCGAGGCTGAAAAAGAAAGACGGAGGATTGAAGCAAAAAAGCGTGAAGAAATAAAAGAAAAAGAAAAACGTAAATCACTGGACATATTACCGCAACACTCCACAGGAAATAACAGAAAAGAGAAGCCACAAACGGTTAACCCACATAACTTAGAAAATGAGCTTGCCAAAAAGCGTTCGAGTTCGCCAAATAGGAAGCCTGCAAAAAAGATCAGACCTTCAGAAATAAAATACAAGCCCTTCAACCTACTACTTAAAGGAGTAGTTTTAGTAATCAGTGGCATTCAAAACCCTGATAGGGCCGATTTGAGAAGTAAAGCTCTGGCTTTAGGTGCAAAGTACAAATCAGATTGGGATAATACCTGTACTCATTTGATGTATGTTGTTTCGAAACTGTGGAAAAAGTTGGCTTAAATTGAGTTTACAATCAGCTAGCGGAAAAAACAAATTTTTACCTCCTGATCCTGATTACAACAACATACATATTTTGTGGGAAATTCATGCTTTCTAAGATAAAGAGTTCCAAATTTCCCCAAGCATCTTTTTGAATCGCTATTAAGCGGTTATTGAAATACAAAATGTCGCTATAGGTACTGTATATGTAAAAAAGTAAATATTAAATTTAAACAAACTTTGGTAATATTTTGTAACATGGGAACCATAAATTTCCAATTATTATTGTGATCAGTATAAAATGGTAAAAATTTTAGTTTTTTTTTTCGCTAGCTTGGTGTAAACCCTTAAAAATAATATATAATTTGACGATTATTTTTAGATGTGCATTTAAAAATACGCCAAAATATAACCAAATAAAGGGTAAAGGAAAAATCGTAACGCGCTCGTGGGTAGAAAAATGCTACAACACAAAAAAATACATACCATGGAGAAGGTTTGCTCTAGACACTGAAGAATTAACAAAGACCGAAAGCGACGAAGAGATATTTGCTGAATCATTACAGCCTTCTAATTTGGGTAATTTTTATTATAAATATGCCACCAAATGATTATAAAGCGTTTACAATTTTTAGCAGCCCGAAAAAATCACGATAGTGAACGTGACGAACGCAACGAAACATTATCTCTTTACGACTTAGATGAACAACCATTAAAACAGCAATCTAGGAACAACGCCTCGACATCTTCTTCTGAAAATGACACCGATGATGAAATTAATCACGTAAAAGAAAGTGAGTAAATTAAATGTTAGCAACAGTTTATATTTTTATTAATATTATATAAAGCCTCAAGCTTTCTCAACACCAACTTATGCGTGAAAAGCTAAAGTTCAAATCTACATCGGCCCAAGACACGATGTATGTTTTTATATTCGATAACATACTTAATAAGATACTTCATTAACTGATTGTCTTATGCCGGGCTTCTATACAAACTTATTTTGTCCTAAGGACCTCACCTAAAATCCAAAGTACCAAACAAAAATACTTTCCTGCGTATGTTACAGGACAAAGATCATCGTCGAAGTACATTGACATTTAAGTAAAAGTGTATAAGGATGATGAATACTGATTCCTAATCATCCAGCTTACTGAAATTTTGTAAAGTTTGAAAAATTATGTAAGAATAGTTTTTGATTGGAGAAAAAAAAAAAAAAATAATTTTGATTTTAAAAAGGCAACCTTTTACAGGGCTACCTAAAATTCGACGTAGTGTATACAAATATTTAACTTCCCAACTATCTTAAAAGGTATTGTAGTTCGTATTACCCAAATATCCCAGGTCCATATCTTAAAATGTGAACGCAAGAAATCACCCATATTATATAAGTCCACGTCGACACAAGTCGACAGCGTTTGATACGAATCTGTATTCTAAGTATCAATATCATAGATTGATGAAAATATAGACGAAAGAAAGTTCTCACCGCTTATCATTGAAATAATTCTAATCGGCAGTTGTCGTTTATATCGAGAATATTGAAAAACTTAATTCTTAAATGTTAAAATATCATGAACTGTAGGAAAATTGTTCCAAAATAAAAGTGAAAATTACGTGGTGACATCGAAAAATATTGGAATAATCATGTGAAATTCTTGATAAACGATGAAATGTGTTTTCGAATTCGAGTTGGACGACTGCATAAATCAGCATGTTGGCTAAGCAAAAGCGTGCTGAGAACCACCTGATTAAAAAAAAAAACATACTTTCCGTTGATTATTATACCCTTCCTATCTAGGGTATATTAAGTTTGTCATTCCGTTTGTAACATCTCGAAATATACATTTCAGACCCCACAAAGTATGTATATTAATCAGCATAAAATTATATGTCGATTTAGCTATGTCCGTCCTTCTGTGGAAATCACTCTAGCTTCCGAACGAATTGAAGTAGATTGAAAAATGTTACTTAAATGTATATTATGTCTGCAGGACTTTTGGTATTGAAAATTGGCCATGTAGTTCCACGTTTTGGTATAGCCCCCATACAATGGTACCTCCCGATATTCGGTATTTTGATGATTTTAGCTACATTTTCACCGATTTTTTTTAAGTTTCGCATTTGAATATTGTAATGGCTTATGACAAAAGTTACCTATGCAGGTCCATGTCGTCGTATAGACTAGACGGCTGCAAATGTGACAATATTCTCTATTTATGCCATGGAGAGAAAACGCTCGTCATGTAATGCCCTGTTTGATCAAACTCATAACAGTACGTGACATCCAACCAAATGTTCGATGGCTCGTCATGTCGGTCAGACTCAAACCCATCGTCATAACATGTAATGACCAACAAAATGGGATGTTGTTGGTAACTTTTTCATTATATGTACGTGAGAGAGTTAATCCTCGTAGTGTAACTTTGTTTAACACTGTGAGTAATTCTTACCGAAAATCGTATACCCATGTCAGTCAGTGCATTAGCTAAAATTCAAGGTACTCGGTCGTTGTTTTTCATCACATAAGTTAAAAACATGAATAACTTTCATATTTTCCGGCGACGGATAATAAAACTCGTAAAGTTGGAGAAGCGATTATCTTATCATAGCCCGTACCGTACTTTTGGTTGGCTGTTGCTCTAGAATATAAACACGGGTTTCAATGTAATTAGATGTCGTTATTGCTTCTCCCCAGAAGGTATTGGGTAGTTTTCCTTCTTTTAATAGTCATCTCAACATGTGTACAATTTTTCCTTCTTGCGATACCATTTTGTTGTGGGCATTATGGAACCTTATATTGATATTGAGATCCTTTATTTTCCAAATATTCTCCGAATTTATTTTAAAACAAATTCATTGAAACATTTAATCTTTTCTCCAACTTCATCCTGTAAATGTAAAAGTTATACCACCGTGTATCAAGTATGATCATCAATGAAACATGTTATCATCTTTTCATATTATTTGCTAAACGGTTTTCTAGTTATTTTATGTTCACAACATACCTCGCACACCTTTCTGATTCCACAATCCTGAATATACATCCCATTTGCAAGATTATAGTTCAGCATTACTTTAAGCGCATCGATATCTTTATGGCCAAGTCCTTGTGCCAATAGTCTTGGCATACAGCGAACAAAACTTATTGATCATGGCGAAGCTGAAATAGGCCTTCGGCTATAGCAATTTCCTTTCCTTCTTTAGTTTGGATACTTGCACAATTTTCTTTGAGCATAAATATAATTTTTTTCCTTTAAAATTCGATAAACGGATAATAGGTTACCTTTGAATGTAAATAGATAAAACACATCTTCGACTGTAATATAACATTTTTCGTTTCGAGAATTTATCATCTTGATTTGACAATTTCCATTTCTGGTTGATTTAACTATTTGACCGTTTGCTACCGTTACTGGTTCCTGGAATGTTGTCAATGATGTAAAATTTGACCTTTGTGAACTGATGTCGCACGTTGCCCCCGAGTCGAGAATCCAAGCCGAAGTATTATTATGTGTAGAATAGCATTAATTTCCATTGTCCCTTCCTTGTTCTTTCGCTTCATTCACTTGATTTTTGGAATCAGACTTATTCCTTCACAGAAATAGCACTGCTTTTCAGATTTATTGACGTAGGATTTGTAACTCTTCAATACAGAAATTGTTTGCAGATCCTTCTTGTGACGTTCACATTCCTCTAACAAACAAGATTCAACAGTTTTCACAGCCAGTTCTTCTACTTTCCGTACTTCCAATGCTGTAATCAACATATCAAACGACGGTGGTAAACATGCTTAGCAACATGAGCACAAGCCAACATTCTGAGAACTTTTCTCCAATCGCCTCCAACTTTCCAAATAAACCAGCCCATAACCAATTGCAGGAACCTCTTTGTGGAATGATATTTATTTACGAAAGCAAAACATGCACGTCTAATCTTCAACAAATGTGATTAAGGATTGGAGAATTAATTTGTTCATATTTACTTGTTTTGCTTCTTTCAATATCATAAAGGGAACTCGGTTATCATAGTAAAAACTTTTATATTTTTGCAGTTCTGGAACAGACCAATAGATATAACATCATATACATACAAATAAAAGGCATACTAGTTGAAATACACAATTAGATTGATTCTCCAATAGAATTTGCGGCCCCTTTTTATATTCCTCACAATGGAAAACCCGTTAAGATCAACGTAATAATTATTTAACCGATCTTCGTACTTTATTATCTAAATACCGTCTGGAGGGTGTGGAATGTCAAAAAATTCTTATGACCTACGGCCTATATCCATTATATCGATATAATCCAAAATGGAGGAACATGCGATGAAAAAGTAGATGGTTGTTTTCTTGGATGATTTGTCCCATATCATAATTACAGGAGGCAAAACAAAGCTACAGCCTAAATACAAATACGACTGATTTTGTAATTTTGGCTGCGATTTTGCCAATAACCCCTGAGGTAGTAGTATTTAAAATATATATTCCTATGAGTTTAGACACCCATAGATGCGGCCACAACAGTCATAGTCCACCTCTTTTTCGAAATATAGAAAGATAGTAAATAAACCTACTCTGTATTGTTTTGATATAAAAAAAAATAAAATGGAATTATTTCGAATTCATTTCATTTATTTACCTTACAAAGACATATATAGCATTTTCAGATTAAATGAAACCTTTTGCAATTCAAATGAAACTTTTTGCAGCGGAAATGAAACCTTTTGCAGTGGAATTGAAACCTTTTGCAGTGGAAATGAAACCTTTTGCAGCGGAAATGAAACCTTTTGCAACCGAAATGAAACCATTTGCAACCGAAATGAAACTTTTTGCAAATCAAATGAAAATTTTAAATTTATAGAAGGAAAAATAACAAAACATTTTTATTTTTAGTAGTTTTTAAATTAAATCAATTAATTATTACTAATATATTGACAAAGAGGATTTTTTATTGATTATAAATATCTACATTTATTTATATTATTTCTTAAATTTTCAATTATTGTAATAACAAATGGTTCTTTATTGATTTGATATAAAATACTTCCATATTATTAAATTCCAAATGCTTAACGCTAAAAAGAGAAATTTAAACAAATTTTGACCTTTATAGGTATGGCCAGGACTGAAATGAGAAATTAAGCTTTACCACAATTTTTTATAGTTATAGTATACTTAATCTTACCTAATAAAGGATGCCCGCTTCGCAGCTTTATTGATTATGGAGATAGAGCAGTCATGATTTCAATAAACAGATAAGTGGAAATCATTAAATCAACTATGATCATGATTATATATACTTTATGGGGTCTGCGACGAATATTTAGAGGTGTTACAAACCGAATGACAAATTTAATATATCCTCCTTTCCATGGAGGAGGTTATAAAAATACACCTAATTCGGGTCCTTTGAAAAAAATACCTTGAAAAACTTTTTTCAATCTTTCTGCATCTACACTTGTGTTTAATGGAAGCTTTAAGAAAAAATTTTATAAAAACATAGATATTAATAATCAATAAAAATTCCTCTTTAACTATATATTAGTTATAATTAGTTGATTTAATTTTAAACCTACTAAAAATAAAAATGTTTTGTTATTTTTCCTTCTAAAAATCTAAAAGTTTCATTTGATTTGCAAAAAGTTTCGTTTCGGTTGCAAAAGGTTTCATTCCCGCTGCAAAAGGTTTCATTTCCACTGCAAAAGGTTTCATTTCCACTGCAAAAGGTTTCAATTCCACTGCAAAAGGTTTCATTCCCGCTGCAAATAGTTTCATTTGAATTGCAAAAGG